ATAACATAATTTTCATAATTTTCTCATTTTAGTTTTGTACTTCATATACTTCAATTTTTTTCAGATGGAGGCCCTTTTTGCATGTTTATTACATATTTTTCATAATTTACACAATAATACATAATTATTATTATTATAACATTTGTATATTGTTATTTATATATTATAAAATACACATAATTTTATACTTCATATTAATATTTTTTTTAAGATGGGGTTTAGTCCTTTTTTTGAGGTTCATAACATCATTTTAATAATATTATTTGCATGTTCATGACATTATTTTGTAATGTTAATGTTTATACTTATTTTTTTTTGTTTGTTTCAGAGACAGTTTTTGCATGTTCATAACAATTTTAATGAATTTGTCTTTTTAATTTACTTTAAATATTTTTTTTTTCAGATGGAGGCGAGAATGTATTTATTTATTTATTGCACGTTTATAGCATAATTAAATTTTTTTTCATTATATTCATTTATTTCATTTTCATGATGTAATTTTAATAATTTTAATTTTATACCTACTTTTTAGACTTCATATACATAACTTTTTTTTTTTCAGATGGAGGCCAAACTTTTGTTTTTTTGCATGTTTATAGCATAATTGTATTTATTTATTTATTTACATATTCATCATATAATTTATGTAAATTTGTAATTTTAATTTTATATATTTGTTTGTTTGCATGTTCATTGCATTATTTTAGTATTTCATTATTGTGTCTTGCGACTGCAGATGAAAAATAGCCTTTGTTTTATTTACTAAACTAATCAATACAATTAAAAAAAAAATACATTTGCATTTTTCATTGTACAAAATCAGACTCATAGTGCATGAGGTAATGCATTACAACTTCACATAACTGATTTTATCTATAGTGGACCAAATGCAGGTTTGCAAACTGAAAATATTTAAATGCTGGCAAGAAAATAGTTGGTGGTTGGCACAAAATGTTTTTCTCTCTCCCTCCGTCCCTCTCTCTCTCTCTCTCTCTCTCTCCCTCTCTATAACTCCAGGTTCATCACAGACTGAGAGCACCAGTGGAAATACTTCTGCCTTTCTCATTGTTAATATAGCATAACAATTTAATTGAAAAGCTGTATCGAGACAAAACACACACACACACACACACACACACACATATGTTTTGGGGAGTAAGTAGTTACATGTAGCGGAATTATGTAATTTAATTACAAAATAAATGTAACTGTAATCTGTTACAGTTACTGAGAAAAAATGTGTAATTAAATTAGTTACTTATGAAAATGTTAACGATTACAAAGGGGGTTACATCTGAATATTTTCACACACATACAGGTTTGATTCTTTTTATTTCCTATTTGGGTTTATGTATATGCTTTTTTTTTTTTTTAAGATTAATTGTTTTCTTCCAAGGCATTGTTAGATGCCAGTGTTTAAAAACAGTATCATAGCTATTACACGGTTTCTTGTTATGATTTTAAATCTGTATTTACCTCAGAATGAACTCAAAGTAAAAATAATAATAATACAAATATTTTATTAGTTTACCTGCATTTATTGCAACCATTAACTGACATCAGAGATTTTTTTTTTCTTTTTTCTTTCTTTATTTATAAAGCACTTTCACACAAATAAAATAAATAAGAAACCACAAAACATCAAAACACAATATAACAAAACAATTGACATGGCTAGATAAAAGCTATTGACAAAAGATGTCTTTTAAGCAGGTATTTAAATACAGGCAAAGAGGGCACAGCCCTACTAGGGAAGAGAGATGACCAAAGTGAAGGGCACAGTCTTCATATGACTTTAAATCAAACAAAATGATTTCTGTTTTGTTCTCGTTTAACACTAAAAGAAGTTTTAACCATATTTGTAATTCATTCAGACAATCCAACAGAGGTCCTAAGAATTCTTTGCTTTTATGCTGCAAGGGAAAATACAGCTGAGTATCATCCGCGTATAGGTGGAAGGACACTTCGTATCTCTCAAAGATAGCACCCATTGGTAGCATAAATATAGAAAATAAAACTGGGCCAAGAATTGAGCCCTGTGGCACCCCACAAGCGAGTGGGCGTGAGGACGAACTATGTTGGCCAATGGAAACACTAAAACTTCTGTATGTTATAAAAGATTGAAACCATTTCAACACCTTGCCCTGTAACCCAACACAGCTCTCCAACCTGGAAATCAAGATATTGTGGTCAACCATATCAAATGCAGAGCTTAAGTCTAAAAGCACCAAAGCCACAGCATTCCCTTTATCTGTTTCTAGTAAAATATAATTTACAACTTTTAAAAGTGCAGTTTCCGTTCCGTGTTGAGACTTAAAACCCGATTGGAATTTTTCAAAAATATTATTTGACATCAAATGGGACTGCAGCTGGGTCAACACAATTTCCTCAAGAATCTTGGAAAGAAATGGCAAGTTTGATATAGGCCTAAAATTATTAAAATTTGAAGAAACAAGATTGGGCCTCTTTAATAATGGAGTAACTGTAGCTGTTTTTAGGCAATCAGAAACAACCCCAGTAATCAGACTAGTATTAAAAATAGTTAAAAGATCATGTCCAACGGTATTGAAAATCTGTTTTAGAGATAAAGATGGAATGATATCTTGAGAAGATGAAGTTAGACGTTCAACAATGCCTTTACAGGATTCAAAAGAGACAGGCTGAAAATCGCTCCACAGTATCGGACCGCTTGATCTCTCAGCTTGAACAGAGTTCCCCAAGGGCAGGCTAGATCTTAATTGAACGGTTTTCTCATTAAAGAATGTACAGAATTGTTCACACAGTGATATGGAAGCATCAGGAAAAATGTTGACAGGGGGACTGAGCACAGAATCAATAACAGAGAAGAGGGTCTTAGGTCTGTGTAAGTTGTCACCAATAAACTCAGATAGATATTTGGACTTGGCGGCATTAACAGCTCTCTGATACACATATAAGGAATCTCTCCACATTTCATATGAGTCCTGTAACTTATCCTTGCACCATTTTCGCTCTGCTCTTCTGCAAACCTTTCTGAGCAAACGAGTTGAATCATTAAGCCATGGCTGGGGTTTAGTAACAATACGTTTTGGTTTTAACGGAGCAATAAGATTCAGAGTAGACAAGCATTCTTGATTGAAGCAATTAAAAAGTCTGTTCACATCCTGCATAGGAGAGGACAGTCCAGGCAAAGGTGGATCAGTTATAGCATAGCATAGTTATAGAACTGGACGTACCAAATCTATCTGAAGAAGCTGTGCCTCAAAGCTCGAGTAGACACCAGTCGGAATGGTACGTGTAATAAACTTTCGTTTAAAAACAGCTGCAAGTCCTCCTCCACGTCCAGTTTTCCTGGGGCAATTATAAAAGGTGCAATCCTGAGGAACAAGTTCAGAAAAGGGACTAAAGTCTCCCTCTTTAACCCAAGTTTCCGTCAAAAATATAAAATCCAATTATAATTATAATAAATAAGAAAAATACGTTTTAATAATAAATAATACAGGATAATGAATAATAAAAAGTTGCTTTTTTGTATATTATTTTATTACATTTATTTTCAGTTAGTCTATTTTATTTAAAGTCACAAAAATGTTTTTTATGGTTTTAGTTTAACTATAATAAGCCTGTTAAGAGCTTGATGAAAACATGCTGTAAAGTCAACTCGTTCTGAACTTCCATGACTTTCTGTGGAGATTTAAATAATTAAAATGTACAATATGAACATTTTAAGGGTGATTTGGTTCAATAAAGAGGCAGATTTCCATCTTTGTTTAATGACGTGAATAATAGCGTATTACGCTTGATTGTGATTTGAGAGTGAATGCTCACACTTACATTTGAGTGCATTTTAGTGTTTCTCAAATCTCTCCATTAAATTAAAGTGTCTTTGAACGCTACCTAGTGGTTATTCAAAGCTAGAGCACTTAAATGTTTAACGCACTCGGTTCTCAATATCCTTCCAGGAAAAATCAAATCTGTCTAATCGATTTGCTTCGATTCCAGTTTCTCTAAAGCAGTGTTTCCCAAACTTTTTCTGTCACCCTGATGTTTTAAGTTAATACTTAAGATAATAATTTAACAACAAGTTCGCTCACGTTCACATGACATGCTGCTAACAAATTAAATATTGCATGTTTTTTAGTAAGTGTTTTATTTTGATTTGGGTTTTATTTTAAAATTATTTGTTTTAATTTGACATGATTTATGATTTAATTAATTATTAGGTTTTCATCAGCTTACAACCCCCCTGCAGAAGGGTTATCATAGTTAACTAAAGCTAAAACATAAAAAAGTTACTTGAAATAAAATTAAGGTAAAATATAACAAAATAAACAATTGTTGCTTTAAATAAAATAAAATGCAGGTTAAATAAAATATAAAAAATTCAACTTATTTTATTCCAGCTATAATTGCCAAGGCAGCATTTCACATTTTCACAAATTAATGTTTTTCAGTTTAACTTGAAGTACTAAAATGACTAAAATGAAAGAAACTAAATCTAATTCATAAAAAAATTATAAAAACTGTATAGACATGTTCAAAAGAAAATAATAAAAATGACAAAAACACAATAAAATGACTAAAACTTTAACTACAATTAAAGTGAAAAGAGAAAATATTAAAATAAAATGTAATTCAAAATGTTAACACAAATAAATAAATAAATAAATAACAAAAAATACCAGATCTCTTGCAAACCCCAGTTTAGGAAACTCTGCTCTAAATTAAGTGATGGAAATGTTTTTCACTACGGTTTCTTCATAAATGGATGAATCATGTCATGATTCATCAAACTGTCCTTGATCTTTTGAGGCGAGAGCGTGATGAAAACGTACTGTAAGGACATTTACTGAAACTAAACGCAATGTTGACTCGTTCTGAACCTCCGCGCATTTCTGTAGAGAATTAAATAATTACAATGTACAATATGAACCATTTATGGGTGATTTGACTTAATAAAGAGGCAGATTTCTTTCATTGTTTAATGACAATATTGTGTCTTATTTTGTCAGGACATTCTCTCTCAGGCGGAGGCTGTGCTCGGCGACGTCTCGCCCACAACCGTCTGCCGCAAACTGTCTGCCATCGGCCGAAGAGTCCTCTCCATAGAGTCCATCGCTGCTCTGCACGGTGTGCTTTCACAGCTGTCTCATAATGCAGTGCATCTGATGCTTTGTGAGGGAACTGCAGCGGGTTTATGAGATGAGAATTAAACCCCAATTTTTTTTTTACATTTAAATTGTCCTCAACAATTAATTTTTAAATAAGAAAAAACTATTAAAATAAAACTCTATAAAAATATAATAAATAATTTTTTTTTTATTTGTTTACCCGCCTGCCATGTGACCATTAACTGACATCAGAGAACAATAAATAATAAAAAATATAACTGATATCAGATAATAATAAATATAAAAAAATATTTAAAAAAAGTTGTTTACCCGCAAGCCATGTGACCATTAACAGACACCAGAGGATAATAAATAATAAAAAAATATTTTAATACATTTTGTTTACCTGCATGACCATTAACTGACTTCAGAGAATAAATTAATAAATAATAAAAAAATAATTAAAATTTAATTAATTTATTTGTTTACTTGCATGTCATTCAACCATTAACTGACATCAGAGAATAATAAATAATACAAAATATAATAAATTATAATAATAAAAAATTGTTTACTTGCCTGCCATGTGACCATTAACTGACATCAGAGAATAATAAATCATAAAAATATTTTAAAAAAATTATTTGTTTACTTGCATGTCATGCGATCATTAACTGACATTAGAGAATAATACATTTAAAGAACCGAAGAGTCCTCTCCATAGAGTCCATCGCTGCTCTGCACGGTGTGCTTTCACAGCTGTCTCATAATGCAGTGCATCTGATGCTTTGTGAGGGAACTGCAGCGGGTTTATGAGATGAGAATTAAACCCCAATTTTTTTTTTACATTTAAATTGTCCTCAACAATTAATTTTTAAATAAGAAAAAACTATTAAAATAAAACTCTATAAAAATATAATAAATAATTTTTTTTTTATTTGTTTACCCGCCTGCCATGTGACCATTAACTGACATCAGAGAACAATAAATAATAAAAAATATAACTGATATCAGATAATAATAAATATAAAAAAATATTTAAAAAAAGTTGTTTACCCGCAAGCCATGTGACCATTAACAGACACCAGAGGATAATAAATAATAAAAAAATATTTTAATACATTTTGTTTACCTGCATGACCATTAACTGACTTCAGAGAATAAATTAATAAATAATAAAAAAATAATTAAAATTTAATTAATTTATTTGTTTACTTGCATGTCATTCAACCATTAACTGACATCAGAGAATAACAAAAAATTTAAAATATAACAAATAGAAATATAATATAATATTTTATTTGTTTACCTGCTTGTCATGCAAACTTTTTAACTGATATTAGAGAATAATAAATAATACAAAATATAATAAATTATAATATTTAAAAAAGTGTTTACTTGCATGCCATGTGACCATTAACTCTCATCAGAGGATAAACAAAAATATAATTATTAATAAAAAAATATATATTTTTTTGTTTACCTGCATGTCATGTGACCATTAACTGACATCAGAGAATAAATCATAAAAATAATTTGTTTACCTGCATGCCATTAACTGACATTAGAGAATAATACATTAAAAAAATAACAAATAATTAAAAAAATATATTTTATTTGTTTACCTGCATGTCAAGTAACCATTAACTGACTTCAGAGAATAAGTAATAAAAATGACTAAATAATAAAAATAGAATTTAAAAGATTTTATTTGTTTACTTGCATGTCATTCAACCATTAACTGACATCAGAGAATAATAAATCATACAAATATTTTTTAAAAATTATTTGTTTACTTGCATGTCATTCAACCATTAACTGACATCAGAGAATAATAAATCATACAAATATTTTTTAAAAATTATTTGTTTACTTGCATGTCATTCAACCATTAACTGACATCAGAGAATAATAAATCATACAAATATTTTTTAAAAATTATTTGTTTACTTGCATGTCATGCGATCATTAACTGACATTAGAGAATAATACATTTAAAGAATATATAATAAATAATTAAAAATATGTTTTATTTGTTTACCTGCATGTCATGTGACCATTAACTGACATGAGAACCATGAACATGCAAATGTGTTGTTAAATTATTGAAATAATAACTTAAAATCTCTACTTCCAGTACAGTCAAACCAAAAATTATTCAGACACCAGATATAATCTTTGATATATATATATTTTTTTACTAGGTGTCTAAATAAATTTTGGTTTGACTGTATTTTAGCTGAAAATTGATTCGGCTGACAAAAAAGTTTGTGAATCTCACACGGTCAAATCTTTCTGTTTGTTCAAAGATGGATGGGAGAAATCCAGTTTCCAGTTTCTGGATCACAAAGCCTGGAGATCAAACTCCACGGAGAAACCCGACGGCGATCGGATCATGATCAGAAACTACTCTGCCGATTCGTACGATGGCGAGGATCTGCTGCTGAGACGCAGAGGTCAGCTCTGTAATGGCTCTCCGTGGTCTGGAAGTTCAGACAGCAGGTCTCAGAACAGTTCTCCGGTGCACAGGAGGAGTCAGGAGAGGAGGCCCGGGAGAGCCAGGAGAGCCCTGAACCGCTCCTGCTCGGTCCCGGACTCCAACAACCCTCGAGCGCTCAGCCCACCGTCCCACGCGCCCATCAGCATGATGATGGCCGACCTGTCCGAGATCACGGAGGAGGAGAGCTGGAGTGGGAGACTGCGGCGGCCCAAAGCCAGGGAGGACCAGGAATCGACGGCTGAACCCGATGCATGCAAGACGGATCAGACTGAAGCTGTAGACGCTCAAAGCCCAACGGCCTCGGAAGATGGAGAAACGCACGCAGACGCAGACCTGTGCAGATCCAACCATGCCAACAAAACTGTGTTGTGCCTGAATGAGGAATCTCACAGTCAGGTGCGTTTGATGATGCAAAACAGAAAAATATGACTCTTTTGTTCATTTATTTCGAGACACTATAGGTAAAGCAATTGTTTTTTTGTGCATTGGTCAATTTTTACTGTGTTGTGCCTGAATGAGGAATCTCACAATCAGGTGCGTTTGATGATGCAAAACAGAAAAATATGACTCTTTTGTTCATTTATTTTGAGACACTATAGTTAAAGCTATTTTTTTTTTGTGCACTGGTAAATTTTTACTGTGTTGTGCCTGAATGAGGCATCTCACAATCAGGTGTGTTTGATGATGCAAAGAGAAAAATATGACATTTTGTTCATTTATGTGGAGACACTATAGGTAAAGCAATTGTTTTTTCATGCACTGGTCAATTTTTACAGTGTTGTGCCTGAATGAGGAATCTCACAATCAGGTGCATTTGATGATGCAAAACAGCCAAAATATGACTCTTTTGTTCATTTATTTCGAGACACTATTGGTAAAGCAATTGTTTTTTCGTGCACTGGTCTTTTTTTTTTTTTACATTTTGGGCTATTTTGCTTCCATAACATGCCACCTTTGTGTTGAAGCTTGTTTCTGTCATGGAATAAAAAAATAAATAAAAAAAAGCAATTGGGTCTTTTTATCTCACAATTCTGATTTTATATCTTGCAATTCTGAGTTTTTCCCACAATTTGAATTTTTTTCTCGCAATTTGAATTTTATTCTTGCAATTCTGAGTTTATTTCTTACAATTTGATAGTTTTCCTGCAATTTTGATTTTTTTCTCACAGTTTGATTTTTATCTTGCAATTCTTGAGTTAATTTCTCACAATGTGAATTATTTTCTTATGAGAAATTGTGAGAAAAAAAGTCCCAAATGTCTTTTTTACATTTTTTATTCCATGATGGTAACTAAAAAAGCAGAATTGCAAGATGTAAACTCAGAAATAAAAAATATTGTGAGATAAAAAGTTATAATTACTTGATTTTTTATTCTGTGGCAGAAATACACTTCCATATCTTTCAGACTAGTGAAAGAAAACATCCAAAATACACATTTAAGTGTTTATGTTATTGCACTTTATCAATTTGCATCTGTAGATTTCAATTTTAATGCATATCTTTAAACACAGTGAGTTTTTTCTCCACTTCTGTAGCACTTTCACACACCAAACCTTACAGTTTTATTTCTATTTATATTCTGAAGGTTTTTACAGAAGTGTTTGTTCATATAACATTCCCCTGACTTCATTATTATATCTTTAAAGGCTGTTTTCTCAAAATTAGTTTCTTTCTCCAGTTTCTGGTCTGGAAATGTATGCAAATTAGTACATATTTAATAAGATAATGCCTCATTTGCATTTTTAAACATAACATGTCAGAAAACAAAACAGTTGTTTTAATGCACTGGGTAAAGTATGAATTTGTTCAACATGTTGATGTAAAATGAATAATTAATATATTTTGTGTTGTTTTCTTTTTCTCAGTGGATCTCTTTGCGGGAGCTGCTCTCGTGCTCTGGTCAGCCGTTCTCAGTGAATGAGCTCTGGGCTTTATGCTACACGTGTCTCTCCACACTACAGACATATATCGACCTCCCAGGTCAGTCGGGTACATCAAAGATACTCTGTTTCGTCTTTATTTAGGTATTACGTCCATAATAACTTTATATTAAAGGGATAGTTCACCCAAAAATGAAAATTCTGTCATCATTTAAACACACACTCAAGTTGTTCCAAACCTGTATGAGTTTTTTTCTTCTGTGGAACATTAAAGAAAATATTTTGAAGAATGTTGGAAACCAAACAGTTGCCGGTAGCCACTGACTTCCATAGTATTTGTTTTTCCATACTATGGGAGTCGATGGGGACCAGCAACTGTTTGATTACCAACATTCTTCAAAATATCTTCTTTAATGTTCCACACAAGGAAGGAATTCATACATGTTTGGAACAACATGAGGAGTGGTAAATTATGACAATTTTCACTTTTGTCTGAACGATCCATTTAATGAATAATGTTAATGTATGTAACATTGTTACGTTATGCAGTGCATTGATAATTTACATGCTAGTTAATGTTGTTTCATTTAAAAGTAGGGCTGCAAAATTATTCTTTACATTTTCTGTAATTTTTGGCAAGTTTCCAGAAATTCTCACAAGTTTAAAAAAAAATGTCCGAAAGTTTCCAAAAAAGTTTCCGCCTCTTTGCAACCCTATTCAAAACTGTTTTAAATAACCTTTTCTAATACTTGTATTAGAAGCTGATTTTAATTCAGGGACCTTATAGAATATCTGTAGTTTTGAAAATTTATTTGTTACACTGAAGGAGTAAAGCGAACATCAAAAAAGTTCAAACATGATCAAAAATGAAAAAAAGATACATAAGTGGTGAGCATCTTAAAACATACACTTTACATTCAGCACTGTGAAAAAAGTCAACAAAACAATTGATTAATATACACTACCAGTCAAAATTTTGGAATAATTAAGATTTTTCAAAGAAGTCTCTTCTGCTCACCAAGACTGCATTTATTTGATCAAAAGTACAGTAAAAATTGTGAAATATTATCACAATTTAAATAACTGTTTTCTGTGTGAATCTGTTAAAATGCAATTTAATTTACATCATTACTCAAGTCTTCAGTGTCGCATGATCCTTCAGAAATCATTCTAATATGCTGATTTTTTTTTTTAAAGTGACTTGACATCCCTATAAATTTTAACCTAAAATCTTGAATGTTATTTGCCAACTACGCACATTCAGATAGTTAGAGAGTTTTACCAACCATCTCCATTAACACAAACTAATACTAGTATTTATTTAGCAACTGTTTGCTCCATGTTTACGTGATCTCTATGATCTGTGGCTCCTGTTTGAGAAGCATAACTGTGCTCTATATTACATTAGACTACCTGTGTCTGGACTCTGTGTATGTGGGCTGTGAAGGAGAGATGCTGTTTCTGAGACCTAAAAACTTAGGTACGAGAACTACAGAACATCTCATTACCATCATAACTCAACAGCTGCCAATGAAGAGTCAATATTAGATGCAACAGAAAGCAACTTTACCTGTAGAATAACTCACGCTTTAAAACAACACTCGCATGTTCTTAAGTGAATGCAATTATTATAATTGTTATTAGTTCATTAATTCTGTTCCTGTTGTCTTCTCAGCCTCCTGTGATGCATTTTTTCTGGCTCCTGAGTTTCAAGAACATGGAATTGTGACGGAAAAGGTTTGTCACTGTCTAGTAGTTGTCGTCTGTCTAAACAAACGTCGTTTACAGTGTGTTTTTGCTCATCTCTAGGCGTGTGTGTATGGGGTAGCAGCTGTTCTCTGGGCTACAGCCAAGTTTAATTTGTCTCCCAATCAAAAGCTGGCCATGCCGAGAAAACTCAAGAGACTTCTGCTTGAGATGGCCAAAAGAACTCCAATCGAAAGACCTTCTATTGAAATGGCGAAAAAGGTACTTGAGAATGATCTTTCATTAAAAAATGTGGAGTCATGCTTAAAGTAATATTTCACTACAAAATATAGGATAAGATTATATAAGAGTATTATATGTATTATAAAGTAAAAAAATTGAACTCTCTCTCTTTATTTGCATATTTGTGTGTGTGTGTGTGTGTGTGTATGTATGTATGTATGTATGTATGTATGTATGTATGTATGTATGTATGTATGTATGTATGTATGTATGTATGTATGTATGTATGTATGTATGTATGTATGTATGTATGTATGTATGTATGTATGTATGTATGTATGTATGTATGTATGTATGTATGTATGTATGTATGTATGTATGTATGTATGTATGTATGTATGTATGTATGTATGTATGTATGTATGTGTGTGTGTGTGTGTGTGTGTGTATGTGTGTGTAGTTTAAAAAATATTGAATTATATGAAAAATTGAAAAATTAAAAAAGAAATAATAAAAAAGAAAAATGAATATAGTAAAACGTATTTATATATAGAGAGAGATATGATGATGGTGTATTATTATTATATTATTATTTATATATAAGGTTGCAGAAAGGTGGAACATTTTGGAAATATTCTAGAAAATTTGGAAACTTTTCAGGATTTTTTTGCTGTATTCCAGGGATTTTTGGAAAAGTTTCCGGAAATTTATCAGAAATTTTCCACCCCTTTGCAACCCTATTTATATAGCGATGTATCATTTAAATTAAATAAATTCTGATTTTAATAATTCATTAAACACTTTGTCCAGAAAGGATTATTTTTATTACTGAATTAAAGTAAAATATGTTTTGCATTACTGTAATGCAAATTTTGTGTAATTATCCTGAAATTAATGTCACAATGCAATTACAGTCTTAATGGTCATAAATTAGATTTCATTTTCTTTATGCATTGAATGCATCTTTGTTTTTTCATCAAAACACAAGCTCTGTTTTCTCCTGTGACATATGCATCCAGGCTGTTTACCTATGCTAATGTGCTTTATGTCGGCTGTTTTATTTCAGTCTTGCTGTGACTACCTCTCCCGCCAGAGAACGAATGCCGAGAGCGTGTGGACGCAGATCATCAGCCGAGTTCACCAGGTGAAGCGTCACACCTCATTCATACGGAGCATCTGTGCAGATGCGGATCTGATGGAGTCACGCGGGGCAGGGTTTCATCAGTCCTGTGATCTTGTCTTTTTGGTTTTATAGAGTCTCTTCTGTTTGTGTGTTTCACCCGCCTCCAACTGTCTCAGAAACATCATCTCTGCCTGAATCTGTCCCTCCTTCTGCTGCATTAAACATGCCAATCCAGTGATATCAGCGGCAAACAGACGCCTCTATAGGCACCGACCCATCCAAAGCCATTTCTGTCCTATTTGCACATCTGCTACACATTGTTTTGACTCCGGTTTCCAAATAGTCATGACATTTTCACGAGTTCCCACAGGAATGTTATTTGTCAGAGGTTGTGTTTAAGGCAAGACTACGGAGCCCCGCACGTGGCATGCAGGAAAAAAATAGTAGGCTAAATCGTGTGCACAATTTACTATTTCGTTCCCTTGATTTATAAATTGTGCACACGATTTATAAATCGAGAGAACAAATTAGTAAATTGTGCACACGATTTAACAAATTGAGGGAACTAAATAGTAATTGTGTGCACGTTTTAGTACATCGAGGGAACAAATTAGTAAATTGTGCACACGATTTAACAAATTGAGGGAACTAAATAGTAATTGTGTGCACGTTTTAGTACATCGAGGGAACAAATTAGTAAATTGTGCGCACGATTTATACATTTTTTTCTTGCATGTCATGTGCGGGGCTCTGTACAAGACAGCACAGGTGAATAGGGTAAACAATATAACTAATATTTATCACCATAATTCTACAGTTGATTGATTGCATTAAAAATTGCAAAATGATTGTCTGATTTTGTTGACATAGTAGAGTTAAAGGCTTTTATAAATGGGATTTTGGATTTGTCTTTTATCACTCCATAATTCAGAAAATAGTGTCTGTAGAGAAAAAAAAAACACATTTTCACCATGTTTTTAGGAATAAAACATGTATATAAATCAGTCTGAATGTTAAATGAACAAACCCCTCTATAAAAAATCTTCAGAATATAGACAGGAATAAAACTGCTAAGTTTGGTGTGTGAAAGTGTTAATGAAGTGGAGAAAAAAAATGTCTTCAAACATATGTATTGTAATAATAAATCAGTCGAATTATATGAGCAAACCCTTCAATAAAACCCTTTAGAATATAGATAAGAATAAAACTTTTGAAAAAAAATTGTTGTATGTGTTTCTGGAGTAGAGGGGGAAAAACTTTTTGAAAAAAAAAAAAAAACATGTTTAAAGATATGTATGGTAATTGAAATCTACAGATGCAAATAGATAAAGTAAAATAATAAATTCTATGTCAATGAGATGAAATCCCTCTATAAAAATCTTCAGAATATAGATAGGAATAACACTGTAAAATGTTCTGTATGTAAGTGTTACTGAAGTGGAGAAAGTAGAAAATAGCCTTGAAAGATATGCATTGTTATTAAAATCTACAGATATAATAGGAAAAGTGCAATAATAAAATGTAAGGGAATGTTATATGAAGAAACCCTTCTGTAAAAATATTCACAATATAGTTAAGAATAAAACTGTAAAGTTTGGTGTACGTAAGTGTTACTGAAGTGGAGAAAAAATCTTGTTAAACATGTATTGTAATTGAAATGTACAGGCATAAATAGGAAAAGTGCAATAATAAATCAGTCGAATGATATATGAAAAAACCCTTCTATAAAAACTTTCAGAATTTCGATCAGAATAAAACTGTAAAGTTTGGTGTACGTAAGTGTTACTGAAGTGGAGAAACAAACTCACAGCCTTCAAAAATATGTATTGTAATTGAAATAAACAACAGTAATAAAATCAGTGTGAATGATATATGAACAAATCCCTCTATAAAAACCTTCAGAATATAGATAGGAATAAGTCAAGTCAAGTCACCTTTATTTATATAGCGCTTTTAACAATACAGATTGTGTCAAAGCAACTGAACAGCATTAATTAGGAAAATAGTGTGTCAATAATGCAAAATGACAATAGTAAACACTCATTTTTCAGTTAAAGACAGTTCATCATTGAATTCAGTGATGTCAACATCCAGCTCAGTTTAAATAGTATCTTTGCAATCAAGTCAACGGTATCGCTGGAAATGAAGTGTCCATAACACGTTATGAAAAGCCAAATAGCCCAAAATCTCAAAATTCACCAGTGCATGAAAAACACAATGTCTTGACTTAAGCATCAACTTTGCCTCAGAGGTTTCTAATAAAATTCTTTAGACAAAATAAAAATAGAAACAAATGAAGAATAAATCCCAGCTACTAACATCAGCGTAACAGCAGTCAGTCCAAATGCTCTTCTGTAACTCTTTCCTGTCTTAATGCATGAACTTCATTCAACAAGTTTCTCATAACAAGTACGGTTTTCATTGAAGGCATTCGATGGGAATAGAGATACAGAGGAATCATCTTCTCCCGAGTGTGCTGAAAACCCATCTGACCCACACTTGGGAGAAGTTCAGACAGGTGCGATTCATTCTGTCAATTTGCATTTTTAACATTTCCGATTAAATAGATTAAACTCACAACTCTCAGAATATTTTCAGGTCATATTTCACCCTATATTTCACCCTAAAATCAAAAGAAAGAAGAAAGAAATTATTTTGTGAATGAAGAAAGCCTATTTTTAAATTGTTATTATTATTTTCATAAATTAAGCACATTTTACCCACTTATTTACTGTATATGATATATATGCATGTATGTATGTATGTATATGTGTGTGTATATAAAATATTTTGTTTTTTTTATTTGAATGCATTTACATTTTTATGCGTATTTTTTATTTATTTATTAATTTTTTTGCATATTTTACATTTCTTATTTTTTATGTTTATTTGAAGTATTATTTTAATTTATGAAATATTATTTTACTTTTTTACAATGTTACATTTTATTTTTATTTTATTTTATTGTATGGTATCATTTTTAAATATTTTATTGTACATTGTATTCTTATTTTATCTTCTTATTTTCACATTTGTTATTATTAATTAATTAATTAATTTATTTATTTGTAGTTTACTTGCCCATGCTTAAAAAAACACCCCAGCTCAAACGTTAATTCTACGATTTTTGTCAAAATCACAGATTTTTTTCATTATAGAGCTTTAGAGCATTATAGAGATTTTTTCATTAAAGATTCACATAGAGCTGACTCTAAGTCATCGGTCCAACCGCTCGACCGATGACGCCATCGCCACTACCCTCCACTCAGCACTCACACACCTGGACAAAAAAGACTCATACGTCAGAATGCTGTTAATAGACTTCAGTTCAGCATTCAACACAATCATCCCTCAACAGCTCATAAAGCAGACTTGACTTGACTTGACTAAGAAAAACAAATTAAAGGACTAAATAATTGTAGTGTTTATGTAAGAGTAGGACACATATTTTCACACAAATTATACATTTGTTTGAATTGTCTTTTGTCACTATATACATACATGTGTATATATATACAGTATTTATACATATACATATATATTATATATATATATATATTTTTTTTTTACTTATTTCCATTGTGTAAAATATAATTTCTTATTTGAGGGTGAAATGTGATCTGCACACATCTCTCATGAGATCCACCCTGTTGTGTAATAACAGTATGTGGGCTGTATGTTATTATCCTTCACATGTGTTGGGTTATATTATATATATATATATTTTTTTTTTTTACTTATTTCCATTGTGTAAAATATAATTTCTTATTTGAGGGTGAAATGTGATCTGCACACATCTCTCATGAGATCCACCCTGTTGTGTAATAACAGTATGTGGGCTGTATGTTATTATCCTTCACATGTGTTGGGTTTTAATCTGCAAGTGTGTTGTCTTTCTCTCAGGTTTTGTCCCGTTGGCCAGCGAGGGCCGTTTGGAGCCTGTAGCTGGTCCAGTTCCTCATCATTACCCAGAATCCTCCAGCAGCGTCAGACTGCCCGAGGCCTTCACTTCTCCTGCCACACACTTCAGCCCCATAATACTGACTCATCACCCGCAGTTTGAGCTGTAGGTCTGCAAAAACACACTCACTGATTTCAGGGAATCCCAGAATGCATTATTATTTTGCATGAAATTGAGTCATCGGTGAATTATTGAATCAGGGACTTTGCTACTTTTGTTCACAATATGCTGATTAATGACAATGAATGCTGTTAGTTTTGGACCACTTTGACACATTTTAACCTGGTTAATAATTCTTCAAATCAGTACATTTTTGCAAACCAGAGATTGAAGTTTTAGTGTGTTGTCAAGGGAGATCATATTTTATGAAGTCTAATATTATCTATCTTGACCAGTGTTATTTTAGTATTATTCATATACTATTATAATTTGAATTAATAATTTGAATTAGTTTTTATTTTTATACTTTTTGTTTTCATTCGAAGTTTAGTTCCATTTTTAGCTATTTTATGTGCTTTTGTCATTTTTTTGTATTGCTTTTTTTATTTATTTAAAACATGTATTATTTATTTTATTATTTATTTTTGTATATTATTATTTGTTTAATTTATTGTTATGTCATTTTTTATTTATTTCATTTCCAGTTCATAATTTTAGCGCTTCAACTTAAACTAAACGAAAAGAAGAAATGTTGCCTTGGCAACATGAAATACGTTTTTCATCTAATTGTTTTATTTTATTTTTCAATTAACAAAAATATTTTAACACTTTCAGTTTTAGTTAATGACATTAACTTTGATCTGGATCCCTAAAGTTGACTTTATAGCTGAACTCAAGTTTAGGTTCTAATGTTCTTGTTTTAAATACACTGAACAAAATTATAAACGCAACACTTTTGTTTTTGCCCCCATTTTTCATGAGCTGAACTCAAAGATCTAAGACTTTTTCTATGTACACAAAAGGCCTATTTCTCTCAA